AAAAAAAAAGGGAAACGAAATGAAGCGGAATAGAAAAGGCCCCAAACAACCTCTAGCTGCTTGTAGATTCCAGTGTAGGTGGTTCGTTGCCCCTGGCATTCACCATTCTCTCTTCTTCCTCTTCCTCATACCGCAGACGCTGCAACATGCGCTCCATCAGCACCCCCCGCCCCGCCCACCCGGCGCCAGGCATATGCGACGCCGCGCCTCACGTGCGGTCCGCCGTCTGCTTCGCGTCGCCGTTTTTTTTCCCCAATGCCGAGCGCAGCACCGCCCTCGTTTGGTAGAAAGTAATTTCCGACGGCAGTCGCGGCAGCCCCGAGGCCTGCGCCGCCGCCTCGTAGTTCGTGTCGAGCCACGGAGCCTCCATGCGTTCTTCCTTCGTCGCCACGTTGACCCAGTGGCCCAGCAAGAAGTATTTCGTTTGCAGCAGCTCCACCGCCGTTGGTCGTTTCGTTGGGTCATACCTGAGGCACTGCCGCAGCATCGCCTTGCACTCGTCCGACAGCTGCGGCGGCAGCGGCACCACGTTGTCGTGCTGCATGAGATATCGTTTGATGTTCACCAGCCACTGTGAGTCGTATGCGGTCTTCTCCTCTCGTGTGTGTGGCAACGGCATGTTCTTTGGGCGAAGGTCCGCGAATACGTCGCCGTTGGGAGTTGTCAATTCAATAAACATCATGGCAAAGGCGTAGATGTCACTCTCCGGTGTGAAGGGCGCGCGTCGCATGACCTCCGGGGCCAAATGCGTCACACAGCCCAACTTGTGAGCCGTGCCTTCCCCATCGCCGACGAGGATGGAGCGTATCAGGCCGTAGTGACCCAACTTAATCAGGGGTTTGCGCGGGCGCCGTCTTCCTGAGCGTACCGCTAGGCTGGCCTCGCCATGCTCAGCGTGTCCACCAGCCGACGGAGCAAGGTCACCACTGGAAGGGCCTAAACTGTCTCCAACTGGATCCCCTACCGACCTACTAATGCTATTATTGTTCTGCACAGCACCTCCACAATCCGCTGATGTCACTGAACTGTACGGGTGCGGCGGCAGCAGCCAGGTCTGCATTGGTGGTGACCGAAAGAAGGAGCCAGTGTGCACGATTGTTAGTCCTTCCGAGTTAGGACTCTTGAAAACGTTAGTTGGGCCCACACTAGAGCCAGGTGAGGGAAGTGGCAGAGTATCGTCATCGGTATAGTCGTTTCCCTGCAGGTATAGTTTGACTTCGTCATCCACCCAACGGCACCCTTCATCATCCACTTCGTTCTCCTCCGCGGGGGCATTTGCATTGGTGGCTTTCTTGTTCCCCTCTGATGGCGGTTGTGTTGGTGCTGCTTTTTCTGCTGTGATCGGCTCCGCGTCACCAGGGCCGTTTGCCCTTGACGTCTCATCATTTGGGTTCCAGCCAAGATGTGACACGATACTGTCATTCAGAATCGACCCTACAAACTCTACGTTATACTGGGGCTGCATGCTCGCAGGGTCCATGAGTGCCAGCACGCGACGGACCCATCCTGCCGGAACCTTGGCGAACCGCCCAGCAGGGAGGTCGGCGATGTATGCTGGGAAGCATGTGGCGTACACGCTACCGATGTTGTTCATGATGTACACATTCTTGGCGCACAAATCTGTGTGGGCCGTGTTATTCTCGTGGAGAAATGCTAATGCCACAAGGACCTCGCGGAGATATGCTCTTGCTGTAAGCTCATGCATGTACGTCTTACCAAACTTCTTAGGGATCTCCGTGAGCAGCGCGTTCTGTAGTGTGCCATACTTGGCGTACTCCATGTAGATACGCACCTTGTCGGGTGGCTGGTGTGGCGCTTGTCCTGCAAGACGACCACTGAGTTTCCGCGTAGCCTGCCGGCCACCAGAAGCAGCCGCCAGGACATTACTCCGGCCCTTTGCCAGATGCTCCGGCCCACTGAGGACATTGGCACCGCCCTCCTTTGAATTCTCATACACGCTCTCCATCTGTAGCACCTTTAACAAACGTGAGCTGAACGAGAGGCGTGCGAGGCGGTGTACTTCGTCCCGCAGTCGGTTGAACACAAAAGAAGTGCTTTCCCCCACCAACTCGTATTCCTTGCATGAAATGAGGTACTTGGGCCCCGTCGCTACTACTTCCTGCCCACCTTTCCCTGTTTCAGATGGAGAGCCACGGGCCAGCTTGCCTTTGTTTTGTACCTCAATGGCATCCTTGACTAATGCATCCGCGGTTGTTGTGCGCACCGTCATCTCGGCCAGCATCACCTGACTGTACTGTCCCTTCCCAACCACATGCTTCAGGGGTGCCACATGGTAGAGTGTCAGCATCTTCTGCTTTGTTGGCAAATTTGCACCAGCCTGCTTCTTCTTCTTTTTGGTGACACCGGGAGGGGGTGTCTTGACCTCTGGAGGTGACGGTGTGCGGAAGTATTTGCGCCCCTCCTCGAGCTGCGTGTCGTACCACTTTCGAAGCGATGGGCTGGGAGCAAAGGGCTCAATGTCGCTCCCCTCTGGCACATGATCCGGTACATCACCCCTGTTCCGACTGTTGCGACGGTACGCCGCGCCGGCGGGTTTTCGCGGGTCTTTGGTGGCCCCCTTTGACTGCGTGCAGCCCATTCGTGAACCGATGCTGCTGCTGCTGCTGCAACAACTGAAACTACAATGGCCGCACGGCTCGATTAAAGAGCCGTTAGAGCAACACGTGTAATAATGGAAATACTATGCTATATTATATATATATATATATATATATATATAATATTCTGCGGTATACGCCTGCACAGACGCCTCGAGGCATATATAGAGGAAAACGCATAATAAGAAGAAAAACAAGGAATAAAAATCAATTGACTTTGATACGATACAAATTCTCCCCTCAGTGTTACGCCTCCCACTCGTGCAGCTCAGATGCAAATGCCGAGCAAAGGGGAAAAATAACAACGCACACACACGCACACACAAAAGAAAAACCACACAGGCATTGATCATCACTATGTCAGTGTGGAGAAGCAAAACAGCAGAACATGCGTGCCGCGGGAAGGGAATCCCGGCACCACAACCCCT